TTTTTGAAATGGAGTCTCACTCTGTCACTAGGCTGGAGCGAAGTGGCACGATCTCCGCTCGCTGCAACCTCCACCTCCCAGGTTCAAGCGATTCTCCTGCATCAGCCTCCCGAGTGGCTGGGACTACAAGTGCACACCATCACGCCCAGCTGCTTTTTGTACTTTTAGTAGAGACAGGGTTTCACCAAGTTGGCCAGAATGGTCTCGATCTCTTTAACCTCGTGATCCACCCGCCTCAGCCTCCCAAAGTATTGGGACTACAGGCGTGAGCCACCGCGCCTGGACTTTGTTTTGTTTGACAGAGTCTCGCTCTGTCGCCCATGCTGGAGTGTGGCTTGATCTCGGTTCACTGCAATCTCCACCTCCCGGGTTCAAGGGATTCTCCTGCCTCAGCCTCCCGAGTAGCTGGGATTACAGGCGCCCGCTATCATGCCTGGCTAACTTTGTACTTTTAGTAGATACGGGGTTTAACCACGTTGGTCATGCTGGTCTCAAACTCCTGACCTCAAATGATCCACCCGCCTCTGCCTCCCAAAGTGCTGGGATTACAGGTGTGAGCCACCGTGCCTGGCTGGAGTGCCAGCTTTTAACAAGAGGAATAAAATTCACAGTAACCAGGCTAAACGTTTGGGGTCATTAAAAAGTGTATCAGTAACAGTGTCTTGCCCTAATACTAGAGCCTGAACCAAAAGGAAGCATCTGTAATTTTTCTACTTTTAGTAGGTACGGGGTTTTGCCGTATTGGCCAGGCTGGTCTCGAACTCCTGACCTCAGGTGATCCACCGGACTCGACCTCCCAAAGTGCTGGGATTACAGGAGTGAGCCACGGCGCTCAGCCAGTCCTACACTAAGTTTTAACAGTAAGTGTGCACTTCCCACTTTGATAACGACGACGATTAGGGCGAAACCAAAGAAGTCTGGATTCCAAGACCTCTAGTAACTACCAGGTTGGGAAGAAAAAAATGTCTGATTTTCCAGGCTTAGAGCAGCAATGCCCGCCCGGCCTCATTCTAAATCCGCCTCCACCCCTTCAACACGGGCAATGCCCACAATCCCACACTCTGGGCCCCGGAGCCCACGCCTCTGGCAGTAAAGACGCCATTATCTTAACAAAAGGTAACTAGAGCCTCTCCCCGCAAGAGACTTTTTTCCCGTCCCATTCTCCTCCGACCCGGGTGGACTTGGCAAAAGCCTAACGATCCTCGCTCGCAATTCCACAAAGCCAGTCTCCCGCGCCCGGCTCTAGAGTCTCCTGCCCCATTTCATTTCCAGGGAGGCTTAAGGGTGCGGACCCGGAAGCGTGACGGACAGGGACGGGGAGGGGGCGAGGGAGCGGTTCCAAGGCGAAGGCGCAGGCGCAGTCCCTCCTCAGCCTCGTTGACCCGCCCCTTGCAAGGCCCCTGCCAACCTGTTCTGGGCGTCGCCGGGGCCTCGAGTTTCCTCTTCCCGCCCCGCGTTGGTCACGTGACGGGGGAGGAGGTGAGATATAAAAAGTGCCTCACTGTCCTACTCCGCCGACGGCCCGTGGGGCGATTTCTTGACCTTCTTGGGAGTCCGTCGCCCGAGGGACCTCTCGGGAGCCTCCCCTGGCCAGGAGCAGGGGATTCGTCTGCCCCGCGACCCGCCCCAGTCACGGCGGGGACGTCGCCCCCTTCGGATCGGTCGCAGTCGGTCACGCGCTGAGGGTGCCGCGGGGAAAGAGAAGGGGCGGGCCTGGGCGGGCCGGGCGAGCGGAGGCGGGGACTCGCGCTGTCCTGAGGCTGCATCTTAGGGCCCGGCCGGCGCTGGAGCCGCAGACTTTGGTTGTCACTGCCTCTTCCGACGGTGCTTACTTCGCTGCCGCTGGCCATCATCATGAACCCGGACCTGCGCAGGGAGCGGGACTCCGCCAGCTTCAACCCGGAGCTGCTTACACACATCCTGGACGGCAGCCCCGAGAATACCCGGCGCCGCAGAGAGATCGGTGAGGGCGGCGGGCGAGACCTCCCTCCTTTCCCGAGCAAAGCTGGAGACTCCCTCGATGCGGAGTCAGAGGGCGCTGTGGGGCCTAGGCCCTCTCGCTCAGCGTTAGGGGAGCCGGGACCCCTACTTCGAGGAGCAGCCCGTGTCCCTGGTGGGGGGATATCGCCATTCCCGAGGTGTGTCCGCGACTCTGAAGTCTGTTGTGATCCAGGGAGGGTGGAACGGAGCCCCGAGTGTCTGTCTTCCTTTTAATGCCATTTTAACTCCCTTGCAGAGAACATGATCCTGAACGACCCAGACTTCCAGCATGAGGACTTGAACTTCCTATCTCGCAGCCAGCGTTATGAGGTGGCTGTCAGGAAGAGTGCCATCATGGTGAAGAAGATGAGGGAGTTTGGCATCGCAGACCCTGATGAAATCATGTGGTTTAAAAAGTAGGTATGCCTTAGCACAGAGCAAGTGTTGTTAAATTTGAACTTTAAAGCTGCGGTTTATGGTGTCCTTTCATCACCGTGCTTGACGTTTGAAGATGCAAACTCGTATATTTTCATGCCACTTTAAAGTTATGTGTGTGGAAAATAATGTGATTACTTTTGTATCCAAGCCTTTTGTGGAATGATATGTTTGTACAATGCTGATAATAAGTGGAAATACGGGAGTTTTTGTTCTCAAGAGTCCAGTTTGAAGGTTGTTATAAAAACATTGTTCTAGCCAGGCATGGTAGCTCATGCTTGTAATCCCAGCACTCTGGGAGGCCGAGGTGGCCGGACTACACGATCAGGAGATAGAGACCATTCTGGCCAACATGGTGAAACCCCATCTCTACTAAAAATACAAAAAAGCAGCTGGGCGTGGTGGCCCATGCCTGTAATCCCAGCTACTCGGGAGGCTGAGACAGGGGAATCGCTTGAACCCGAGAAGTGGAGGTTGCAGTGAGCCGAGATCGTGCCACTGCACTCCAACCTGGCAACAGAGTGAGATTCCGTCTCAAA